TTCGGCATGTTGGGGTCTTGAATGTCGCAAGTGTCCGCGTGACCGTTGCACATACAACGACCGCCAATACTGATATCTTTGATCGAATAAAAGTACTGTAATACAAATAAACTTCTTTAAATGTCGAATTATATAAAAGAAATCGTAACGGAAAATATCGATTACAAACAAATTTTAGAATATCGATTTTTTTTGTACCTTTAAATAAAAATGTATTTCAACGACAAGCATGGATATTAATTATTTATCATATAAAATCAAATATCATCGAGAAAATGAGAACAAAGTATCAATGTGTAACTTACTCTTCTGGTAACGGTAGGATCTTGACGAACGACGGACATGAGATGCCCCAACAAGTTCTTCGTCCTGAGAAAGCGGAAACGAACATTGGTTGCCCGCGTCCATTCTTGCAACAAAGTCGAATTGAAATAATGCTTCGCTGAGGGTCGATTATTTAGGATCGAAATCGGAATCTCGCCACCCTCGAGGGGGACGACTTTGGAATATTCAGTTGTGCAGATTACGCTGTCATCTCGAGTAATCGGTTTGTGACTGTCCACCCCAAAGTAGGTCAGACAATCGCTGGCGGAATCCGAAAAGTATTGCCAGGGCGACCAAGTCTTGCCATAATCTTTCGACTTTTCCAGGACCCAGAGTCCTGGCCGAGGTGAATTGCCCATTCGTATATAAACGTAAGCTACGTGAAATTCCTGAAAAAAATCTGTTTCAAATTTTCCCTTCTATTTCCTTGGCCTTTATTCATTTTTGACAAACATTCTTATTCAATTTTCTCTTTTTTCCAGAAATTTTTTGCCCCAATAATTATTATATACATTATTTTACGGAGGAATCTATATTGTTGCTTTATCTATTGAAATTTATAGCTTTCAATCTTAACTTCGTATGAATACGTTCTTGCTATTTCAGATAAAGTAATGTGAACCAAGGTTAAAAACCGAGGATTGAATGCCAGATGTGTGCCATACAGGGTCGATGCTTTAAAAGAGAACGATTACCGAAATCTCAAGTATAAAGGCTGGCTGAAAGAAAAAGTGAGATAGAAAAAGAGATAGATAGAGACAAAAATTTATTCTTTTCTAGGATTTAATAGAGCTAAGAAATTTGGGACTATAATATAAATCTCGAGCAAAACAAAGAACATATCAGGACTAAAGAGAGAAAAAGATATGAGACATTTAAAAAAGCATTACAAATAAATTATTAAAGAGAGAAACAAGAGAGAAAGAGATGAAAGAATGTTCTAACAACGGTGTAAATGAGCCTTTCTAAGAAGATGATTAGCGAGGGAGCGACAGCCTTCGAATATGCAAAGATAAACTACACTTCTGATAACAGCTAGTTACACTATAGAATTATATATATATATATATAGATCGATAAATAATAGTTTCAATTCAAACGCATCATCGGATTAATTAGATATTAATTTAATAAAAACTAAAAACGAAAAAGATATTCGCAAAAAATTTTTGGAAAAATATGGCGCCGCGGCAATTTTCGATAATAGAAACAATTAATATCATTGATAACTCCATTTTTCCTCGTTCGTCTTCGAGACTTTAACACTTTTCATTATTCTCCGGAAGTAAACCAATGATAAATCTTCCCACTTGCAGGAAAACGCCTACTTGTGCGATAGAATGTTTATGTCGCCGATAAAAGAATTGCGCATCATTATTTCCTGTTACTTCTGAATCAGACCTTTACAAGCTCCGAAAACTTTCGTTAATAATCTATATATTTGATATTATAGTGACTCACCTGTTCCAGATTGATCGTCAAATTGACCTCATTGTATTTCATCCCCCTGGATAAAGGTGGTGATTGCCACCATGTTTCCATACCATCGACCGCATATTCCGGCGGATGACTTTTTTCAGGATTTTCAGGATCACAATAATCGCATACCTATGAGAAAGTAATATTTGTTGTTATATCGAAAAAAACAAAAGAATTAATTAATTAATGGAATCTTAGGAGATTTATTTTATATGTAAGTTCAACGAAATAAGAATTTTTTATTAGAAGAAACTCAGCCCACATAATTTTTATTTATTTTCGTCACACGTTTACTCCAATTGCTGTATTACATTAAAATTTTAAGAAAAAAATTTTTAATTACGAATTTTAATATGTAGGAGCAAATTTAGATAGTTAAAAGTTAATATGTAAAGGAAGAACTCTTTTTCTGGAATTTGTATTTGTGACACAGAAAACTTCTTAATTTCGGATGGGTGAACGATCGAGTGTTATCGAGAGGTCATTCATATCTTCCGTTTTATCAGACTCCTCGCTTCTAGTTCACTTCGGTTTCATCTTCTTTTACCCACATAGATAGGTATACGATGAAAAACGATGTCATAAACTCATGAGCTTCTCGTATTCTTAAGTATCAATGATTCAGATAGATGCTGATCAATTACAATCCAATTAAAATATAAGTATACAAATAATTATAGAAATAGTTTCGACAATTAGAATGAAATTTTCAGATTTTACGTCGCAAAAAAATAAACGTAGATGTTAAAAGCATTATACTTTAGTATTTTTAATAAATATATTATATACTGTGCGAAATTCATCTGTGTGCGAGCGATTTCTACTGTCGATGAAGCATCATGTAGGAAACGCGATCCTGCGAGTCTAGCGCATTCTTCAAACACAATCATAGACTGTGCGAACTGGTTTTTAGCTGGATCTTATAAAAGAGCCCTGTAGTCGTCTTTTGTTCTGATTCATCGACAAAATGTTTAATGTACAATGGAGAATATTAATTTTCAGAATAGCCAAGAATGCCGCTGAACAGTCACGCTGGAGATTTACAAACGTATTACAAAAATACATAGAAATTCATTTTATTTTATTTATTTAATAATTTATTTATTATTTCAACGGAATTAAATTTTTAATTAGAAATTTTTAATTAGAAATGTTTAAATTTTATCTTAGAATATTAAAAGTGTAATAGCGTAAAACATACATATATAAATTTATTAACACAATGTGTGAGTAAACTTTATATATAATAAAAAAGGTACGTTAAAAAAATCTCATCAATTTCTTTAATAAACTCCTTTGTACGTCCGCCGCTCGATTGATGAAAACTAATCAATGGTTTCATTCATCTCTCCCAATTCTTTATCAACACCTTATCGTAATTCCCAGATAAAAAGACAGAAAAAGTGCGAGATCATATATAACTATAAATGTTTACATAAAATATTACATTTATTTTGACCATATATGCAAATAGTTATTAATATGAATAAAGATATGAAAGAAGACAAAAAAAGGAAGTAGTTGAGTAATTGAGCCGATGCCTCAGAACTGATAAACTCTTGGACTCGTAGAACTTAATGATAATAGATAAAATTCGGTGCGAATACTGTAGACGAAAATATCAAATTCCTTGGCATGCAAGAGTTCGTTAAATCAATTTTAATCACGTTCACGTGATATTTATTCAACGGATTGCTGTATATCCAAATATTAATTTAAATTCTGAAAAAAACATAATTTTTTCTATCTATATCTATAAATTATTTCTATATCTATATAATCTATATATAAAAGTATCTAAACAAAAAATTTATTTAGTATTTAGTATAAGTTTTTAATATTTTGTAGTTTCGGTCAAAAGTTACAAGAGTTTTCTTAACTATTAATTTAATTTTGATTAATTTATAATTTTGAAAGAAAATTTGATAAGATTAGAATTATATCTGATTGATAAACATTATATTATACACTGTATTACAAACAAATCAAGCATTATCCATTTCTTTTACAATATATTTATTGCTAATTTTTACCTGGCCTTGAATCAAGTTGATATCTTCATCCTGATCGGCGTTCGCGCCGACGAGTTTGCAGTAAAGTTCGGGACCGGTGGTGTCGACGCCGCATGTAGCCGAAGCTACGATTTCTTTGCCCTCGGCCAAATTGAAATACGGCGGCGTCAGGATTTCGCTCCTGGACAGCCGGATGATCAGCAGAAGACCGGCAAAGATAGCCGGTAACTGCATCCTGCCAGCAGCAGAAAATCCGACACCTTCTAAAGTTCTTTCGCGGAACTATTCCACTCTTTTTTTTCTTCACTTTCGTATTCCCTCCACGCTCTTCGCCTCGCTCCCTTCCTCTCTCTCTCTCACTCTCTCTCTCACTCTCTCTCTCTTTCTCTCGTGAGAGAAACGATGATGCCTGGACGCTTTCTTGGTGTCGACTGTCCGGACCACAGTTTGTACAGTGCCGTCGACTTGCCAGATGAGAAGAACTCGGTGGGGGTGGAACAGATCAGTGATCTTCAAGTCGCAGCTTGAATCCCGCGTGGATCCAAGTTCAGGCACCCTGAGTTTATGTACCATCTTCAGCTGGACTTGTCAGATTTTTACGCAAGTTTATTAAATATGTTTGCAATAAAGATAAAAAAAAATAAGTAGGGAAAAATTCTAAATTTTGTCGTAACTGCCTTTTTACATATTTTGCTTTAGATATTTCTATATATCTCATAGACATCGCGAATTATGGATATTTTCGCATATTGCTTATGCATATTCTAATTAAAATTTCCTGAGTACATATTAATAATTTATTCTTAATAAAATCTTGTTATCATTTTTTTTACAAAGATAAGGTTATTGGATAGAACTTTGAAGATCACTGATTTAGAAGGGTCGAAACCACATGGCATCCTTCATACGCGCGAGAATAAAATCTTGTTTATAGTTTTCTTGAGCCGCATAATCTTACAGTTCAGGACAGTAATGGACAGTCTGATGGATTCCATCGTCTCATTCGAATTAAATATATAAATTTTTATATTAATATTTTACATATCTAACTATAAAACATATTTAAGATAAAATACAATTATACTTTTTTAATCTTTTTGCTTTTAGGATATATAACGTGAGGAAAATAAATCGATGTAAGACAAATAATTTTTATATTTTATTGGCAGAAATAAAATATGGTGTACCTTTTACGATTATGCTCTCAACAAATATATAGCACAAGTCGTCAATTCCATAACATACGTTTGTGACTAGATGTATAATTCTCCTGTTATTCATTTAATCCTGCTTCAACGGGCGACTTCTATAATAAAAAGCAGAGAACATGATGCTAGAACTCAGCAGGACAGAGATGATAAAGTTTCCCAATAGTAATATATCGGCAGAATCCATCCATATTGTAAATACCCTCGCTAAAACATAATTATTTGATTCCATCGTTTCCGTCATTTTACATATGCAAAACTGAAAACTTACTCAGGTTAGTGAAGGCGGATATAAACCAAGTGAGAGGCGATACCGATTCTGCGTTTTTAGCTCGAAGTATAGCTAGCAGCTGGACGACTTTACTGGAAGCTGAGATCGGCGTACACATTGGCTAAAAGTTCAAATATATGTAAAGAATGTTTCAAAGCAATAGAAGAATTATTTGCAATATTCAACCCTACCGCTAAAAGTGTAAGTATAACTTTTGGAACAATTCCCAGCAGCAAACAGCTGCTCAGTGCAAAGTATATTATGGCACATAAGAAAGACCACATATTGATCTTGCTCAAATATTTCAGCACAAAGAATATCAGTATATATTCTTGGACTAATATTATTGGATATTCCAAGTAGGATAGTAATGAGTATCCATTTGAATAGTTATAACTAGTCATTACAGTGTAACTGGAAAATAAATAATAATAAGTTATTTATAAAAGAAACAATTGTGAAAATTTTCGCAAAAGCTCTTTAAATAATCTTGTGAAGTATAATCATGTAGAGTTACCTTGTCAATTCTAAAAGTAGTCCTACCATCGACATTTCATCAGCCGATTTTACAGAAACCAATTTTAATATCTGTGGAATTTTCAATACGAAACACATGCCTATCGTTATCAGGCTCAACAAATCCGCAAATTGTTGCAACAGCAACATTTTTTTGTTTATTCTTGCCTTTTAATTGTCACTGTACATATGTGTATAAGTTTCAATATAAAGACGACATTATAATAATTTTTAATTTACATATTGCTCATCAGCAAATCGTAATTTTATCTCATCTCTAATCTCTTTATGAACAAGTCAATAATCGTAACGCGATCAGAACACACTTAATTCAATTTTTCCAACCACGTTTCGTAAACCGTACATAGCAAGATTCTGAAACTGTCACTTGATCGTCACTTGACTGGATAAGAATTGCTTGCGCTATCAGAAGAGCGGATAACGAAAATAGATCACTAACAATTATAAATAAAAATACCTCCCATACGCACCGGTATTTACGTCAATACTTGGCTACAGTTGACCGCAGTTGCGGACATCGCTGAGCGATCAGCTGATCCCGTTGGCGCGGAATTTGTACGTTATCTTTCGGTTCGACCCCCAGTTCGAGGGCAAGTGAAAGCAGGAGCACTCAAAATTGATTTACAATTACTGGCGACACAATATTAAAATAAAAATTTTTCAATGTGGAAAAGATCTATCAATTAAGTTAATATCACCTCTTATCAGATTATATTCTCCTAATATGATCTTGCTCTAGATTTTTGAAAATTTGAATCTTTGCGGCTTTAAAAAGTTACGACGGTCGGTAAAACAGCAGGCGACTTTATCGATAAAGTCGCGCACTATATTAACGACTGTCGGTATCTCGCGCGAATCACAAAAAATTTGAAATCTCAAAAATCGACAAAATATCAAGAGACTACAATGAAATAAGCGGTAAGAGGTTCTAACTAAAATTTTAAGGATCACGATTTCAAGAATTTTGAGTTAAATGTTCGAATTTCAAATTTAAATATCGACAGAATGTGAAGTGAAAAAAATATATAAACCAAAACTGTGCGAGCGTTGCAATTTCGAAACTTTCATACGTTCTCTCTTGCTGTCTACACACAACATGAGCCTAAATTTGCCGCATGTAGAACGTGAATTTGAAACATAATGAGCACGTAACATACGTTCCACGTACGTTCTATGTACAATCGGTGCAACTTCACGTGCGAAGGCATTCATGACAATCATGACGTAGCTCGTAGTACTACATGCAAATCGCGTGCGGCGAGGTTGGCAGCGCCGATTGGCTAGGCGTGACGCTAGGCGCGGAACGCGACGAACCGGACCGAGCCGAACATGGTGCGAGGCGAAACGTGAGGCTGCTCCGCGTTGTCTTACAGATATCGATTGGGTCCCGGCGTGGGCACAGCGCGCGTCATGCGGCGATCATGAACTGCGTGCCCCCGCGCGACGACGACGACGACGAGGCCTGGATCGCGAGTGCGCCGCGGCCGATTTAGCGCGAGGGGTAAGCCCGCGGCGTCGTCGTCCATTCGTCTCTCTCCCGCGTCCAGCTCCCGAGCGCGAACCTCCCCGACGTTTTCCTGAGACGTGCGACGTACGAGCCAACCTCGGCTCCGTCAACCTCTCCTCCTCGCCGGGCGCTGCTCCAAAGTCTCCTCCGGCCGATCTGTCATTGTGCATTTAGCGCCGAATCGGAGCACCTTTTGTTTCTCTCCGGAATTGCTTCCCTGTCATCGATAAGATTCGCGAGAAGAGCCGTATTTAGCATTAAACGCGCAATGAGAATCGACACTCGCCGTAATTGCTGATCGGATGGACTTGGTTAGCTATCGAGTGACATCGCGGGAAAATCTCCTGTAATTCATCTATCTAGAGAAAGCTCCAATCTATATTCTTTTTCCCCCGTTTCTTTTTCGGAAGATTCGTCTATGCATGAATAATTTTAGGATGGATTAGCCTTGAGATCTAAAGTGTCTTTGATCATGAATAAAATGAATGGAAGAATTGATCTTCATGACTCATATATCTGTAGTTATGACACTTTAAAGATATCATGACTCATCCTTCCTGCGCGTATGTTGCTCTACATGGAACTTACACAGATTGTGCTATCATGTTTCTGTTTTAGGGTTGTCAACTGCATCACTTTAGAACTTATCATTGCAGTTTCTCACTCATAATGGACCATGCGCAGAGTACAAGCAAACGTACGAATATAGAGTTTGTAAGGCAATCATATATTGCCTGTAATACTTTTTCTCAGGTTAGATATCTGTAGTATCAATTTAAAGGTATTTAAAAAGAAAATATGTGATTTACAACACTAACAATCATGCTGTTAAATTTTAGGGGGTGTCATGGAAATATCAAAAATTCTGGCTACTATAGACTTTTCAGTGCATAGGTGAAGCAAACGAAATTTGAGATGGACTCCCCGCCATCATGTTCGCTAAGCGCTGGGCCTCTCAGTGATCTTGGTAGCAGTGGCCTGGGGGGTTCGATATCTAGCGATTCTGTTAGAGCACATCTTGCAATGGAGGTAGGACGATCATATTTCCTCGAATTAAATATATCTTTCCATACAATGACTATATGGAGAAAGAGAGCACTATCAGCGTTGTTATGTCATTCTACCTGTAGCATTCATTAGATATAAAACGAAGAAGAAATGATACTATAGTGCTGACAGCGCGTTTCCCAAATGCAACCGTATAGCCTTAATTTCTGAAACTAAATCTCTTTTAGATGCAGGAGAGCGACATAGAGAGCAAGTCCCTATCGCAAGATTCTTTTGATTATTCGGACGGCATGTGCGGCGAGAATTTCAATACCTTGAAAAAGGGCCCAGGCTGGGGCGACGCAGACGGCAAGTTGGAGGTCGAGGTGGTCGACGTGGCGATCAAGCCACCGCCAGAATTTCAGGATAGCCCATCGCCGCCAGACTCGGAATCTTCGTCGGTGCCGATTCTGAATTACGCGCGACTAATGAGACGCAGAACGCCACGATGGATTGATGACTATGCCGAGAACATGATACAATCGATGGTAGAGGAAGCACTAGCGATTTCTTGCCGTATCTCTTGGCCGGAAGGAAGAATCGCGCCTATTACGAATCTGGTTTCAGTGGTGACCCGGTCCCAACAGATCAATCCTAAACGCATGTGGGATCTAATGACGCCACCAGTATGTCAGGGCGCTGCTACCATCACTATTACCCCATACAATACGCTGAACCGGCCAAACTCACGCTGCTCGCTGGCCTCCTCGCGACTGTCCAGTTCACACAATTCCATCAACACTATTGGGCTTGGCCACAAGGCTGACGACAGCAGCTTCATTACATCCGCGATGTCGCACGATGTGTTGACCACAAGTGAAATTAGCGACATGTACAATGTACCCTTTGATTCAGACATTTACACAGTGCCGATTGATGTGGTACGGCCGTTGCACGACCTGCGAACGCCACAGCGGCCTAAACGGCATCGGCATCATCGCAAAAGACGGCGGAACGTTTCTGCGAGTTCACAGAGCGAGCTGGAGGCACACATCCAACAGGCGCGTCATTATTGTGGCAAATCCCGTGCCATCACGCATGTTATCAAATCACAGCGTTTGTTGGCTGATGTGTGCTGTAATGAGGGCAATCCCGCTGTCGGCGGCGGCGGCGGCGGTAGCGGTGGTGGTGGT